GCTAGCACCACTCAAGGGAGTTGCTGTGCTGTTCACCAAAGCCTCTCCAACAGGAAACGTTGCTGCTTTTGAATACCCTGAGGGACTGTGGAGGGCGGGGCTGAGGTCTGTGTGGGGCTCCCCGGGAAGGCTAATAGGAACTGGAAGATGGCTCCTGCCAGGTGCTCTATGTGGCTTCCCTGTGTGGGGCAAGTAAGTGCCGGACTGAATGGAGCAGCAGGGAAAAGATGGGCTGGCATGCGCTTAGCAGCAGGGTACGTTCAGAGAACTGCGGAACCACGTCTGAGGTGCTGGGCCCGCAAACCACTCTTTCCTGAGAAAGCCGGATCTCGGGATCTTGGGAGATCTACAGGGGCAGCAGGTCCTGGGAGGGCAAACACCCTGTCCTCCCAGTGCCAGAAGCGCCTCCTCCCAGACTCCTCCTTCAGGCGTCTGGCACTTCACCTGTGAAGCAAATCCCAGTTCCTGGAGGCCTTGTACCACCCTGACTCCCTGAGTCACATTACTGCTGGCTGCTTTGCCGCAGGAGTCGGGCCAGGTGCTGGAATGGGCTCTGGTCCAAAGGCCGAGCGGAAGGAACCACCCCAGCCGGACAGGGGACATGAACTGCGCACGCATGTGCTTCAAAGCCACAGCCTTCAGGTGCCGGAAGACCTCGGCCCGCGACTGCGGATTCCGGTGCTCAACCCTGGGGCTCTCCTGACACGTCTGCCCAGGTCCAGGGCCTCAGCCGCCCTAACGCTCTGCTCTGTCATCTTCAGCACACTTGTTGCCCGGGCTGCGAGGTACCTGGAATTCGTCCCAGGAGACCATCGACAGGTGACTTAAAAGAATACTTAAATGAATGTTTTCTAATGGTAGTCATACCGCTCCAAAATTTCAGGAGAGAAAGATATGGGTTGTGAACTAGCTTGTGCATTTTGGAAAGCCTCTCTCTTTCACAATCCTACACACCACCACCTAGTATTTTAAATATGTTTTTTTAAATAGCCATTATTTGTAGGCTAAGTATTTATTATTCTTTATTTAGTCTTGATATTTGTCATACAAATGACATGAAGAGAGAGATTTTTGCTCTTTAATAATGCCAGTGGAGTGGAACTTCTATATTTATACAGCATGATTTATATTTCCTGTGACTGGTGTGGACTGTCGTAGTACCTGGGGAAGTGGACATCGGTAGAGTTGAAGCAGAGCAGTATTCTGGGAAGCAAGTCAGGTTTGCATTCTTAGTTCGCCTCACTAAGGCATTCTTAGTTTGACTAGAGCTACTAAGTCACTCTACGACTCTGAGTGAGTTCCATATGGTTAATAGTTTTATTTTCTGAATAAGATTCATTTTTGGGTAGAAAGAGACTCAAATTTTATTAGCCAAGCTGGAGTTATCAATCCACCTATTGTCAGAGGAGAACTGAGCCCCCTGATTTGAGTCTTACCAAGGCTGTGCCCTATTGGAGAAAGATTATTTCCTTAAAGCAAAACAGGTGTTTTTACCAGAAGGTGGGAAGGTTCTGAGAAGACAACAAAATTTCCATTTGGAATAGGTGTCCTAACAGCTTTCATGTCTTAACATTCTAAAATTGTTTTAGTCTATTTCCTGGTGCTTTATTGACTATCATTCTTCATTTAGAAGTTGCTGGAAACTTCTCCAAGTTCAAATCTTTCATCTTTTGATGAAAACTAGTTCAGTTTTTAAAATGGGACAGTGTATATTGCATTTGTGCTGCACATTTCCCACCCCCACCCCCTCTGTTATTAAAAGATACAGTAAGGAGCACTGAAGTTTTCAAGATTTTGAGAAATCATTGATTTGAATCAGGCAAAGTCAAACCAAAGTTGGTCTAGGAGTGTTTTGCTGGCGGGACCTAGTGGAGAGGCTTACATAGAGCAGATGTGGAAGAAAAGCAAGGACATTCCTTGATGGGCTGTGGCGTAATGGTTGCCTCATTTGGGAAAGCCTAGTTGGCTGTTTGTTGTTGGCTAGATTGCTTGTTCTTACATTTCATTTTTCTTTGGTAACCTGTGTATTTTTAGGGATTGACTCTGACTTTGATTTTGGTTTGCTTATGTAGGTTACCAACACATTAGAACCCCCTCAATTTTAATGCCATCCTTGTTTAATTAACCTAACACTTTTTTATATCATCAACTAACTGAAGAAATGATAAAATGGAAAAACAATAGGTAGAAGGATCTTAAATAATTATACTCAGGAATATATTAGAAATATGTGATACACTGTAAAGAATAAAAGATGTTCGATTATTATCAGTTCAGTTGGTTGCCATGTTATCTGAATTTTGATATACTGTAGGAAAATGACTCATTTAAATCTGAGTGATCTCCTTCCCCATGTTTTTCACTCTGCCTGTGTGTTGATGGATCCTATACCTGTATCTAGAGCAGACCTCTCTTTCAGAGCACCAAAATTATTTGCCAGCTGTTTTGCCCTGGGCCTCAGGGCCAAAGCCCCAGGATACAGGACACCTCTTGGGGCACCAGGTCTATGTCTGGCAAGGTCAAAATCTGCAGCAACTCCAGCTCACAGTTACATTATCCTTGAGGCCAGGTTTCCCCAGCAGCGGCAAGGTGTCTCAAATTTGTTCCAGGAGACCATTGCTGATTGCTCCTCAAGTCTTCTCTGTGAAGGACAGCCTCCAGTCATTACTCTTTCTGACCCAGCTCAATTGCTAGCACCACTCAAGGGAGTTGCTGTGCTGTTCACCAAAGCCTCTCCAACAGGAAACGTTGCTGCTTTTGAATACCCTGAGGGACTGTGGAGGGCGGGGCTGAGGTCTGTGTGGGGCTCCCCGGGAAGGCTAATAGGAACTGGAAGATGGCTCCTGCCAGGTGCTCTATGTGGCTTCCCTGTGTGGGGCAAGTAAGTGCCAGACTGGATGGAGCAGCAGGGAGAAGATGGGCTGGGATGCGCTTAGCAGCAGGGTACGTTCAGAGAACTGCAGAACCACGTCTGAGGTGCTGGGCCCGCAAACCACTCTTTCCTGAGAAAGCCGGATCTCGGGATCTTGGGAGATCTACAGGGGCAGCAGGTCCTGGGAGGGCAAACACCCTGTCCTCCCAGTGCCAGAAGCGCCTCCTCCCAGACTCCTCCTTCAGGCGTCTGGCACTTCACCTGTGAAGCAAATCCCAGTTCCTGGAGGCCTTGTACCACCCCGACTCCCTGAGTCACATTGCTGCTGGCTGCTTTGCCGCAGGAGTCGGGCCAGGTGCTGGAATGGGCTCTGGTCCAAAGGCCGAGCGGAAGGAACCACCCCAGCCGGACAGGGGAGATGAACTGCGCACGCATGTGCTTCAAAGCCACAGCCTTCAGGTGCCGGAAGACCTCGGCCCGCGACTGCGGATTCCGGTGCTCAACCCTGGGGCTCTCCTGACACGTCTGCCCAGGTCCAGGGCCTCAGCCGCCCTAACGCTCTGCTCTGTCATCTTCAGCACACTTGTTGCCCGGGCTGCGAGGTACCTGGAATTCGTCCCAGGAGACCATCGACAGGTGACTTAAAAGAATACTTAAATGAATGTTTTCTAATGGTAGTCATACCGCTCCAAAATTTCAGGAGAGAAAGATATGGGTTGTGAACTAGCTTGTGCATTTTGGAAAGCCTCTCTCTTTCACAATCCTACACACCACCACCTAGTATTTTAAATATGTTTTTTTAAATAGCCATTATTTGTAGGCTAAGTATTTATTATTCTTTATTTAGTCTTGATATTTGTCATACAAATGACATGAAGAGAGAGATTTTTGCTCTTTAATAATGCCAGTGGAGTGGAACTTCTATATTTATACAGCATGGTTTATATTTCCTGTGACTGGTGTGGACTGTCGTAGTACCTGGGGAAGTGGACATCGGTAGAGTTGAAGCAGAGCAGTATTCTGGGAAGCAAGTCAGGTTTGCATTCTTAGTTCGCCTCACTAAGGCATTCTTAGTTTGACTAGAGCTACTAAGTCGCTCTACGACTCTGAGTGAGTTCCATATGGTTAATAGTTTTATTTTCTGAATAAGATTCATTTTTGGGTAGAAAGAGACTCAAATTTTATTAGCCAAGCTGGAGTTATCAATCCACCTATTGTCAGAGGAGAACTGAGCCCCCTGATTTGAGTCTTACCAAGGCTGTGCCCTATTGGAGAAAGATTATTTCCTTAAAGCAAAACAGGTGTTTTTACCAGAAGGTGGGAAGGTTCTGAGAAGACAACAAAATTTCCATTTGGAATAGGTGTCCTAACAGCTTTCATGTCTTAACATTCTAAAATTGTTTTAGTCTATTTACTGGTGCTTTATTGACTATCATTCTTCATTTAGAAGTTGCTGGAAACTTCTCCAAGTTCAAATCTTTCATCTTTTGATGAAAACTAGTTCAGTTTTTAAAATGGGACAGTGTATATTGCATTTGTGCTGCACATTTCCCACCCCCACCCCCTCTGTTATTAAAAGATACAGTAAGGAGCACTGAAGTTTTCAAGATTTTGAGAAATCATTGATTTGAATCAGGCAAAGTCAAACCAAAGTTGGTCTAGGAGTGTTTTGCTGGCGGGACCTAGTGGAGAGGCTTACATAGAGCAGATGTGGAAGAAAAGCAAGGACATTCCTTGATGGGCTGTGGCGTAATGGTTGCCTCATTTGGGAAAGCCTAGTTGGCTGTTTGTTGCTGGCTAGATTGCTTGTTCTTACATTTCATTTTTCTTTGGTAACCTGTGTATTTTTAGGGATTGACTCTGACTTTGATTTTGGTTTGCTTATGTAGGTTACCAACACATTAGAACCCCCTCAATTTTAATGCCGTCCTTGTTTAATTAACCTAACACTTTTTTATATCATCAACTAACTGAAGAAATGATAAAATGGAAAAACAATAGGTAGAAGGATCTTAAATAATTATACTCAGGAATATATTAGAAATATGTGATACACTGTAAAGAATAAAAGATGTTCGATTATTATCAGTTCAGTTGGTTGCCATGTTATCTGAATTTTGATATACTGTAGGAAAATGACTCATTTAAATCTGAGTGATCTCCTTCCCCATGTTTTTCACTCTGCCTGTGTGTTGATGGATCCTATACCTGTATCTAGAGCAGACCTCTCTTTCAGAGCACCAAAATTATTTGCCAGCTGTTTACTCAACATCCCTGCCTAGACATATTTCTTGCTAAACTTTTTCTTGCTCCAATGCTTTAAATTTTTGTTAGTGGCTAAGTTAGAAACCTGGGAGTCTTCTGTGACTCTTCCCTCACCCAATATTACTTACTTGTTTCAAAATTAGTTGTCTCTAACTTCTAAATCACTTTGTTTCTGCCCACATTATGCTCCATGTGGCTAACACTTGCCACTAATAATTAATACAACATGTTGCCTGCTAATTGAATAATTCACAGAAATGGAGAAATATACAACAAAATAATTTTAGTTATGTAATAAATGCTATTATGGTGTCAGGGTATGGGGTTGCCTTTGAGGCTTCGGGGCAATATGAAGAGCAAAGAAGGCAGCGGGAGTTGTCATGGAGGGTGCTCAAAGAGACCACTTTATTCTACACAAAGTTGTATTTCTTAAACTGCTACAGTGCTAATTTATGGTTGCATAAATATTGAAGTTGTGCATGCATGTGACCTTCATGGCTATGTGCCTGGCCTTCAGGGCCCTTACCTAGCTTCTTTCTCATAGGTACAACATGCTGTATTTTCAGGTTTCTCAAGGCCAGACATGTCTGGGGTGAAGCAGTGGACAGCTGTCCTTACAGTAGGGGAAGGTAAGGGGAGGCCTTCCCTACATGTGGTATGCATAAATTGGCTTACTAGTCCTAGGTAGTGTGCAGTTGTGGGAAGGGATGCTACAGAAAGATAGGCCTGGATTTGAATTCTGTTTATCTTTATAACTTTGGGCAGATTATGTAATCTCTCTTAACCTCCTTTTCCTAATCTATTAAAGTGGAGATAAAGATATCTACCTTATGGGACTCATGCAAGCATTGTGTGGTATTATATTTGTATATATGTATATTACAGAAGATCATCAGTATATATATATATATAAACATAATGTACACACCTACCATGATTTATAATATGCTCTTTGTCCATCACTGTTAAAGGTTTTACTTAAGGAATTTATAATCTAGGGGAATGGACAGAAAAATAATAAAGTCTACTATTTAGAGACTCTGTGATCAGTGCTGTTTTAACAGCCTATGGGTAATAATTCATTTAATTCATAGGATAACTATGAATTAAATTAAATAGGATAATTATGATGATTAGCAGGTGTCTGGTGCCTCTTTCCTTTATCCTATACCCTCTTGAGCTAATTTCCTGTCTCTCCACACTTATATTGCATCTTTGACATATAAAGTGAGGAAACTCATTTAAAAACATACTATTAGTTTCTCTTTCTCTTTCCTGGTTGTTTCACTGTTAAGAGTAGAGCTGACCTGTATTAGAAAGTGACATGAGTGAGGGTGTGTGTGTGGGGGGGGGGGTGCACATTTAACAGTGGACATTGTTTATGATGCACAATACAAAGATTGAAAAGTATTTTCTGTGGCTGAATTGCAGAAGGTTCACTATTCATTCGAGGAAGTTTGGACTAAAGGAAATAAAAGGAAACAGTAATGATGTCACATATGTTTTTAAGGAGTAACATTTGAATGGTGGAAGTCACGAGCAAGGTTTAGCAGAGAGGTTGGTTTGTGTGATATAAAACATTAAATAAAATCTCTGTGATGGCTAAGTATACTAAGAAGGGTTCTTTGTCTTGTAAATTAATAAAAATACTTTTCCTCCCTTTGAGCCAAAAGCCTTAAAGATAAAATTTCATGAAAACAGTTTCAGGTGAGAATAAAAACTAATCAATTTGTGGACATTTATATCTGATAGATGCTATTTTCTTGTTGAAGCATCATTTAAATTATTTTTTTTAATAAATTAAAATTAAGAGCGAAAGGGGGTTTTGAGAATTTTACAGTTTATTTTAGAATTTAGTGAATTACATATTCAAGTAAAGTATTGGGCTTATAAATCACAGAAACAGATGAATAATTTTATAACTTTTACAGAATATATTTTGTGAGGAAAACCTTATCTATGGTATTGGATTAAGTTCCCTGGATAAATCTATACATGTTTTCCAGTATGATTGCCTTTCTTTGGGTGCGTGCATGCAGAGAATCATCATCATTCTCTTAATAGAATACTTCAACCAAATGCCAGAAATGGCTGGGAGTGTGAAGGATGAGATTTGAATTTTCTTGTCTTCTTCTAGATGTTAAGTGAATTTTATATAAGTTTGCTGTCCTTCAAGAAACTTGTCATCTCCTGAAAAGGACTGGCAAATCCAGAGAAATTGCTCAGAGAAACCGTGTCCTATTTTTTCCTAAGGGGAAAGTAACTAACATGAGTCAGCCACTTTACCTGTCTTTTACTGCTTGTGCAACGTGTGCTTAGCAGCTCAGATTCAATTTATCTGTATGCTGCTCATTAGAGCATAGCATCTTGAAGATATATGACATTAGGTTAGCAAGATCACTTATAAAAGTTGATCTAAAGAAACAGTCTGAATTCCATTTAAATTTCCATCTGAGCTTTTAAAATGCTGATCCACTGGCAGGTGCTTACCCAGTATTGTGCTTTGACACCATCTTGGACTAAAATAAGCCTTTCTTTGAGTTTTGCATACTCCATGGGAAACTACAAAATGTAAGGAAGTGCCAGACGCAAAGATCAGCAAGGCTATAAAAGGACAAACAACTCAAGGTAGCAAATGTTTCTTCTCTGGCTGGAAATTTTGCACAGAGCATGAAAGCTGAAAAAGAGATCAGCAATGAGCAAGGGTGACACTGATAAAAAAACAAAACAAAACAAAACTTGCAAACTTTTAAGATAAAAAGCAAATGTGAATTTTGTAAGAATATTCTCACATCTTTATGCCTTCCTCCAGATCTCGACAATATTCTGTTATAATGCAGTCCTTAAGCAAATGACACTGGCAGTGAAGCCCTTCGGAAGGAAACTTTCTTTAGGTGATTGAAACACTACATAGTGAAAGGAAATTTTAAAAAAGTTTTGAATGTAGAATGAAAGCATTTTGTCTGTTAATATTTCTGTTAGGTATTTGTAGCAGTTTATTTTCTTCAAAGCAGTGTTCCTTTGCATGTACATTCATGCACACTTCTTGTCATGTATTTTTTGAAGTCTTTGGTGTGAAATACATGTGAGCTATCTAAAAAATGTATTTTTTATGATCCAGGCTGGACATATTAGATAACTTGTGACAAGGATTTGAAATGATTGTGTATGAATATGCTTTAAAAATGAAGTAGCCTTTTTTAAAAAGTCCGTATATCGTGTGGAAATAACAAATAGGCAGATTTTTAGTTCTTACTCTTCAATAGCAGAAACAAGTACGTTACTTGTGTGGTCCGCTTACTTTTTGGGTAGGGCAGTAGGCTTCTCCTGCAGACCCCCTGGAGATAAATGATGATTGGATACAGAATCAG